TAGCTTTTAATTTAATTTCGGGGACAAAATAATTTTAAGTACAGAAAGAAAAACAAGTAGCAGATATCATTACAACTCTGTTGCTTGTTACTTATTAGCAGTTCTTTTGTAAACGTAATGAGTGTTGTAACTTAAAAAATATATTTAATATTATTATTAAGCTCTGATAGAAAAGCAGATTTTATTTAGATGCTTATGGCCTTTAAGCAATACTAGACACTAGTAAGTGTACAGTAGTTGAAATTTTTCTCAGTTCTTTTTACAAACTATAAAAAATATATTTTAAGCTTATATCTATAACTGAATGGCTATATAGGATAGACAGAATTACAGTCACTATTTCTAAATTTCTCTCAGCAGTAAACATGTATTAAATGTTTTGGTGTTGTTTAAGGCCCTGAACATATGCAGAACTACATTACTATAGTTACTAATCTCCAAACAGATGCCTAAATGTAACTGCATTGGTTAAACAATACAGAATAGTGCATCTCTGGCTGTACAAAATATAAACAAAATATTAATGAAGGAAAGACTATGTTTAGAGATCTTTCACAGACAAACACTCTCTATGAGTGTAGGTATATGGGAACCTTGAGGTGTCCCTATCCAAGACTGTACATGCATTCATTTAAACATGGCTATCACACCCCAGTTGTGCTTGACTCACCAAGCAATGGACACATCATCCACAGCACCATGCTCAGCTGCTTGTTTCTGTATTTTGAAAGGACATGCAATATTGATTTTTTCAGCACTAATTTGAAGATGTGTATATATTGCACATTTGAATTTTAGAATCTCATTGAATATGTTTTATTATAATGATTAACACAGTGTATCTCTAAATTTCATTATTACTCAGAAATTTTTATGATACATTATTGGTAAAAATAACATCATATGTGTATATCAGTTAACCTTGGTGAGCACCAGTTTTGAAAAAAATAGTTATTTTTAACCTGACATTATCTTGACCAGTGATGATGATCTTCTCAGTTTCCTTCAACCTAACTAATATATATTCATGAAAGATAATGTAATGATTAACTAGGATGAGATGATGAGGGCAATGATCAACTAGGATGAGATGATGAGGGTAATGATCATCAAGGATGAGATGATGAAGGTAATGATCATCAAGGATGAGATGATGAGGATACACAAATAACCCGCACATAGAAGAGAGGAGCTTACGACGACGTTTCGGTCCGACTTGGACCATTTACAAAGTCACACTAACCAGAAGTGGAGCAGGACAGGTATATATAGGCAGGAAGAGGTAGTGGTGGTAGTTGTAGTAGTAGTAGTGGTAGTAGTACCACCACTACCTCTTCTGCCTATATATACCCTCCTGCTCCACTTCTGGGTTAGTGTGACTTTGTAAATGGTCAAGTCAGACTGAAACGTCGTCGTAAGCTCCTCTCTTCTATGTGCGGGGTTATTTGTGTATCATTCCAGTCACGGTATTGTGCCTTTTTTTGTTATTTATGATGAGGGTAATGATCATCAAGGATTAAGATGATGAGGGTAATTATTATCTAGGATGAGATGATGAGGGTAATGTCATCTAGGATGAGATGATGAGGGTAATGATCATCAAGGATGAGATGATGAGGGTAATGATATCAAGGATGAGATTATGATGAGGTAATGATCATCTAGGATGAGATGATGAGGGTAATGATCATCCTAGAATGAGATGATGAGGGTGATGATCATCAAGGATGAGATGATGAGGGTAATTATTATCTAGGATGAGATGATGAGGGTAATGATCATCAAGGATGAGATGATGAGGGTAATGGTCATCAAGGATGAGATGATGAGGGTAATGATCATCTAGGATGAGACGAGACTTTGCTAAGTGTAATGAATGTGATGGATTGTATTATATGACCAGTCTTAATGTTCAACATTGTTGAGAATTAACTGAAATTAATTAGAGTTTACTTGGTAAGTATTTTTTTTTTTTGCACTTGTATTTTAGTACATGTTCAAGAGCATTACAACCACAGGTACTAAGTATAAAAATAGATCTTCATAAATTGATGTATTTTAGCCCATGTTTTGAAGTTGCTATTGTATTGTTAGGTGTGTATGTTAATGAAGTAAAATATGTTGTTAGACTAATTGCTTTATTAATATCAGTTTTATTTCCTCTAGTTTTAATCTCATGTACGGTATTTATTTTAATGCACTCATAAGCATTTCGTATGTATTTTTCAGAGGTAATTTTGATGAACAAATTAGTAAAAGTGAAATTAATTTAAGCTAATTTCCATGCAGTTATTATTATTAAAAAAAGGACTTAGCATTACATATGTTCGTAATTTAATTGTAATTACCTACTGCTAATTTGTTCTTCTACAGTACAATCTACAATCTAAAATTTAGATTTAGGACCATGTTTATATTACATACATGGTGGGGGCCAAGAGCTGGCACTCAACTTCAGCAGGCATAATTCAGTGAGTGTATGCTGAAGGAGCAGAAGAGACATAATCATAAAATAATCACTGCTATTGGTAAGAAGAATATAAACAGATCTGAAATGAGTCAGCACTGAACATGTCACACAAATGAATCAGCACTGAACAATGGGACACAAGTGCATCAGCACTGAACAATGGGACACAAATGGGTCAGCACTGAACAATGGGATGCAAGTGGGTCAGCACTGAACAGTGGGACACAAGTGGGTCGGGACTGAACAATGAGACACAAACGGATCAGCACTGAACAGTGGGACACAAGTGGGTTGGCACAGAACAAGGGGGCATAAATGGGTCAGCACAGAACAGGATAAGACAGATGGGTCAGCACAGAACAGGAGAACACAGATGGGTCAGCACAGAACAAGAGAACACAGATGGGTCAGCACAGAACAAGAGAACACAGATGGGTCAGCACTGAACAGGAGAAACAAGTAGAAACTAAATATTAAATCAGTTCAGAAGAGAATGCAGGAATATAATAAAAAAGAAACATCAAGTGAGTCAGAGTTATTGTTGTATAAGCAACTTTTTCAAAGTGAATTTGATAAGTAAATTGAATTCTCTGGGAAGAAGTAATGGAAGCAGATTTCTTGCTGGAATTTAAATGTAAACAGAGGTGTCCCTAACTTTGTGTAGAACATTCCAGGACTGTGGCAAGTGCACTAAGCTAAATCAGGTCATCAACATTTAATTCTGCATTTTAACACTTCAGTATACTTTGCAGACTGCACTGATCACATACAGTGAATATATATCACACTTACAGAAATATTGTTAGAAATGAGACATCTAATAATAGTGAATTCACACAAAGTGAACTTGTATAAAGCGAGGAAAATGTGTATTTATGCCATAGATGCATATTAGGTCTATGGCATTATCAAAGTCCAAAGATACTTTCATTGATGGTAGATTACTTTATTTCTGTGGTGTGAACTACACTGATTGCACATGAGCAAATTAATATCACTCATTGGCAGAAAGAAGGTTACTACATAAAAGTAAATTCACATATAGCAAACCTGCATAAATCAAGGAATTACTGCACTACAACACCTGTGGGGTTTGAGACTTATCACACTGGTTGAATGTTAGCTAAGAGACATGACATGGGAGAGCAAACTAGATCAGTGAGAGTCGAGTACATAATGCTGGATCCATGATGAGATGTAAGATCCTTCGATACATGATCAGCATGACCATACACACACACAATATGCTGAGTGTACAGGTGTATACCTACAGAGTCAAAGGAATAAAATACAAGAAATAACTATCATTAGAACTCTATATCTGATCTTGGGTGTAAATGTGACAGAATCCAAGGGGTCAAAGGTAGTCACATTAAACAATCAGTGGCTGACAGGTGTAGCCCAGGAGCTGAAGCTTGAGCACCAAACACACACACACACACACACATGTGTGCATGCATGAAATATATACATATATGTATTGATGTTGCTATGATGGTAGATAAAAAGAAAGACCTTTGGGTGATTATAGTAAAAGGGTATTACTAGAGACTTATATAAATACAGTGGAACCTCTACTTGTGAGCGTGTCCACATGCGAGTTTTTCCAAATACGAGCAGTCGATGGGTCGATTTTTTGCTTCCATATGCGAGCAAAATTTCCACAAGTGAGCAGACCTCAAGGCAAGTTCCTTGACACTGGTGAGGGGCTCTTGCTTTGATCTCGGGAATTGTATCTCATTTGCTTGTTGGACTATCTTATTGAAACTTGGGCAATGTATGATGGAAAGATGCTTCTTAACGTACACCAAAAATGAAAGAACTCCAAGCATAAATAATGGAGTTCACTTCTCAGCAATTAGCCACCCCTTAGCGGTAATTTCAAATGGTTTTTATGGTTGTATTCTTATTTTTTTGGTCTCATTTGATAGAATGGAAGATATATTACAGAAACAGATATGATTTTAATTGCTTTCACGACGAAAAGTACCTTGAAATAGAGGTCAACTAGGAGAACTGGTCCATTGCTTGGCTGTTTCAGAGTAAACAAATAACGTCACTGTCCATTCCAATATGTAGTCGTGAATGGGTTGACATTATACAATTATTGCAATAAGAAATAACAGTAAATCTATATTTTTTTGTGTGAATGAAAATTACAAATTATTTATATAATAATAAATAATAATAATATGTATAATAATAATCTGTATAATAATAATATATATAATAATAATAGTATAATAATATAATACAATAATAATAATAATAATAATATGTATAATAAAATACATATATAATAATAATGTACTATATATAATAATTATAATAATAGACAGCTTCAAAAGGCCATCACTAGATGGCAGTGTTTACCACAACGAAGAGCGAGCGGTTGTGGCTGTCTCCACCTGTATATATCATGTTTCTATGTTATTTATATTGTTTGTTATGTCATATTAGATGAACTGTGATATATAAATAAGCCGTATACCTGTATAGATGATATCAGCGAAATTATTCATGAAGTGTTTTGCCCGGTCCCCAGACAAACTCATCCACCGCCGACACCGCCCATACCACTACATGGATGACATATTTTATTCATTTTAGAGTATATATCATGTTTCTATGTTATTTATATTGTTTATTATGTCATTTTAGATGAAATGAGATAGATAAATAAGCCGTAGAGTTGATATTAGTGAAATTATTGAAGCACAGAATTCCATTGGAACGGATTAATTGCATTTCAATTAATTTAAATGAGAAAAACTGACTGCAAACAAGCAAATCCAGTTGCGAGCAAGCTCATGGAACGGATTAAAATCGCAAGTAGAGGTTCCACTGTATATTATTGCAAAGAAAATTATGCTCTATTGGCTTTTTTAAAAATTGCTTCTAAAAGGAGTATATGGCTGAGAAAATGATAAAATTATATATTAGGCCATAAAGTTCCAAAAAGTGACAAAATAGGTTCCATGTTTGAGAAATATGAGAGGTGAAGAAAGAATATAGGCACTACAATGTCCTCAGATGACAGAAGATGATATATAGTAAAGTACATACTAATTCAAGGAAGGATGTGAGGTGGATACAAATTTCATAGTGGTAATTTTATACATTGAGGATGCCATATTTCATGGTTGTAGCAATAGAAGAGCAAAGTGTCATAACTTTAACCCATAAATGGTCCAAGCAGATCTACGTTCACATGTGTAGTGCTACAAAAGTAGATCTACGTTTTCTTTACATATTTTCAAATATAACAAAAAAAAAAGTAAATCAAAGTTTTTTTACACATTTTCAAATGTAAAAAAACAAAAAAGATCTACTTTTTTTAACATACTTTCAGATGTTGAAAAAACGTATATATACGTTCGGACCGTTTACGGGTTAAACTGCAGTCTATATATAAGAAAAAATGTAGAAGGAACATGTGAAATCTGAAAAAAATTGGGGCAAAGCTATTGGGAGTGTAAAAATTAAACACAATAAATTTAGACTGGGAGACATGACAAGAAACCATGAATGTAAGTTTTATTTATGTAAATATGACAAAGTTTATTCCTGCAACTACAAATACATCTAGTAATTATAAATAGGCAGCTACTGTAGACAGATAAATACTGTACACAAAAGCACAGCCTACTCTTTAACCTTTGAATAGAAATACAAGTAATATGAAGCTTTTATATTATCTCTTATAAACTTAAGTGTAAACCAAATTATTTAAATAATCAGGAATATTAAAAGTTGAAACTGTACATGAACATAATATATATATATATATATATATATATATATATATATATATATATATATATATATATATATATATATATATTTATGTATATATATAATGGCTATAATATAATTGTAGTGTATATGTATATGAAGCAAGCTTTTAATAAGTGTGTTCTGTATATACATATATATATAGCATTAATAGAAGCAGTTGCTTTTATATGTGTGATTTTTACATAAAGGCTTATCTTGTATAGTGTACATATATATATTATATATATTATTAGATAAAAAATATCATACATATTTGACTCAGTACACTCACACTTTCTCTCTCTACTGGTTTGTATGCATGTTTTATCTATACATGCATACTGGTTTGTATGCATGTATAATCTTTTTCTTTCAACGCACTGACTGTATCCCACCGAGGCAGAGTGACCCAAAAAGAAAAACAAAACTTTCTCTTTTTATCTTTAGTAATGTTTACAGGAAAAGGGGTTACTAGGCCCTTGCTCCCGACATTTTAGTCGCCTCTCACAACATGCATGTATGTATGTGTGTGTGTGTGTGTGTGTGTGTGTGTGTGTTGTGTATGTATATGTTTATATATATATATATATATATATATATATATATTTTATATATATAAAATATATATATATATATATATATATATATATATATACATAAAATATATACATTACGTACATATATAATATATATATATATACTTACATACATACATACATACATACATACATACTTATAATTAATTCTATTTTTTATTAAAAAAGAGCTCAGCCCATTTTTTCTTTATTTTTACTGAATCAAGGCAATTGCAGTTAGGCAGTTTTTATATACGAGGATGAAGTTCGGATGTTAAGAAAGGACTGATTATTAAGGTTTTGTATAGAAA